GCAGGAGCGTCGTTCGGCCTCTTCTGGAGGCAGTGATTGAAAGGGAGCCCGTAATCAACTCCTAACATATGTCATGTCCGTCAGCAGATACAAGGCACTGGAGGGGATGCTGGCAGCTTCTGTTCAGTGCTTGTGGAACGTGGGGTGCTGACTAAGTGCTAACGTGGATCATCTTTCACTTGAAAAGTCTATTACGGCCTTTAATCCTCTTGGTGCACTCAGACTAGTCCCTCCCTTGATAGTGGTGCCCCCTTTTTCAAGGACTTAGGGACGGGGGAGCAGGCTGTGCCCTGACTAGGGAGGGTAAGTCCAGAGTGGCAGCAGCTCTGGAGCAGCGGTGAGATGCCTGCAGGCACACCAGGATGATCTGCTGGTGGTGCTCCTTGAACTGGTCTGTGCACTTCCACTCTGGGAGGTCTCTTCATGTCCAACAGCGTTGTGTTACCTGTAGAGCTTGAAATTTCTGCCTCCACCTGCTGGCTTGTTGGGCCAGGCTTATTTAAAAGCTCATCGACTGCTCAGAAACAGCTTCAGGCTTTGGTGTGTCCTTCCTGATGTGACAGCGAAGCTCTGCCTTGCTTCTTGTTCCAGTGAGTTCTCCAGCGCGATGGAGTACCTGAAGTTGCTCAACTCTTTCCTGGACTCGATGGGAAGTGGAGCACCGCCCTTTGCCAGCAACTCTGTGCTCAAGTCAGCCCTGGGTAAGTCTGCCCAAATGGAAGCTCTGCCAGCTGCAGGAACTACTGCTAATACCCATCCCCTCCACCCCACCACCTCCCAAGCTCCAGGCGTGGCAGAAACGCAGTCTGGGGTGGAGTGGGGTTTTTGGGGGGATGCTTAATGAATGCAGGAAATGATGGTTGGGGGTGATGAGTGCATATCCTTGTCGGGAGGGAAATTGGGGTTTTTCTAGACAAGCAGACAGGGTAAGTTCTTGCTGACCAGCTGCAGTCTCAGCATCCCAGCCTCTTCCCCCAGTCAGATGCGGGGTGTTTGCTTGCTGCCTGGTGGCTCTGTGCTCCCCCAGCACAGCAGCTGCATCCCTGTGGGATGGGCTTGGTCTGCAGGCTCCCCCTGTCCCTGTGGTGGGGGCACAGGGTGCCACCCCGTTCCTCCAACCCGTGACTCTGCTCTCGTAGGCCCGGACGTGGTGTGCAGGTGGTGGTCGGCAGCAGTTGCCATGTCCATCGGCTGGCTCAGAGGGGACGACGCAGCTGTGAGGTCACATTTCACAGAAGTGGAGCGTGTGCCGAAATCCCTGGAGATGTCCGAGTGCGTAGGCTTCGTACCACTCCTAAACTCCCCCTCCTTCTTTCGTAGCACATAGCCCAGCACTGGAGCTGTGCACTAGGAACAACTGGGAGGGAGCAGAATCACTTAGGGGCATCTTGGTTTTGCTCTAATTACACCTCACTGCCACCACCAGAATGCAGAGAGGTGTCCCAGCCCTCTGATCTCCAAAGAGAGCAAAACCACAACTTGGTTTCTCACAAAAGGGTGGTGAGGCCCTGGCACAAGCTGCCTAGAGCAGCTCTGGATGCCCCATCCCTGGAGGTGCTCAAGGCCAGGCTGGGTGGGGCTTTGGGCAGCCTGGGCTGGTGGGAGGTGTCTCTGCCCATGGCAGGGGGTGGGAGCTGGGTCATCTTTAAGGTCCCTCCCAACACAAAGCATTCTGTGATTCTGTGAAAATCAAAGCTTGCACACTGATGGAAAAGACAGTTCCACCTTCTTGATTCACATCACACGAAAGCTGCTTAGACAGTTCCCTTCCCTTTCTCTGTGTAGCTCAAGTAGGTGAGGAACAACTTCCATCTTTTGTCTCCCTCCCTAAGAAGCTGTGATCTCTGCTCCTGGAGGGGGGAGGCTGGCAGCTGATGCTGGCTGCTGTGTGAGCTCAGCCCTTGGGGCTGCCCCATGGCACCCTGACACGGCACCGCTCGGAAGCAGCGCCCTTTCTCTTCCAGGAACGCCCTGGTGAAAGCCACCTTCCACCTGTGCAAAGCCATGCAGGCCTCGCTGTCGGGGAAGGTGGACGGGCAGCAGAGCTCGCTGGGTCACTGCGAGAGGGCCAGCAGCCACCTGTGGAACAGCCTGAACATGAGCAGCGGTGCCTCCAGCACCACCCTCAGCAACGTAAGGGCCGTGAGCTGCGGGGCCGCGTGCGCTGTCGTGGCTGTGAGGCTGGGCCATCGCTTCCCTGTGTGCGTCTGCGTTCTCTGCTCATCCCGCGTCTGATAGGAACGAGGGGGATGCTTTCTCCTTTTCTGTCCCAAGGGCATTTAATATTTTCCCTCCCTGCTGCATGGAGGAGCACTGCAGCACTACCCTGCCAATCCCCATCACCCCTTCTGTTTGTTTCTTCTTTGGCCACTTTGAAATTGGCCCACGGAGAACCTCCATCTCCATCCTCCGAGGGGAAGATGCTGACACCTGTGCGACAAGGACCTCATTATGTCAAACCCGCTCTGTTTCAAGAGCGCTTGAACCCTCTCTCCCGCAGAAGTGGGACTGTGCTGTGCTATTCCTGAGCGCGCGTGTTGCTTGTTTCTTTTTCTCCCCAGGGTTACCTAAAGCTGGAGCCTTCCTGTGCGGCATACGGGGGACGGTTCTGGTCCCTTCTGTCGCTGCTGGGTGGCAGCTGTAGTGCATTGTAGTTGCATTGCATGTGACGCCAGTAACTGTGCAATGTTTCTGCAGTGCAGTACAGAGGCACTCTCCACCTCCCCGGCACAGGTAGAGTCTCCCAAGGGCACCTAAACTAGCGAGCGATGCTAGGGGGCAGCAACAGCTGGGGAAAAAGGGATCCGGGTGGGAAGGAGGCGCCGCTGTGGGGCGTGCAGGCAGCGGCTGGGCTGCCCTAAGCTGTGTGTCTGCCCCGTGGCTCTCGCAGGTGATCCAGCTGCTGGCCTGCGACCTGCTGCTGTCCCTCCGCACCAGCCTGTGGCAGAAGCAGGCGAGCAGCAGCCAGGCTCTGGGCGAGACCTACCACGCCTCGGCCTCTGAGCTCACCGGCTTCCAGCGGGACCTCGGCAGCCTGCGCAAGCTGGCCCACGGCTTCAGGCCCGCCTACCGCAAGGTGAGGCTCCGTCCCTCGCCCCTTCTTCACCCCGGGGGTTCATCATCAGCCTCTCACCGCCTTCCCTTTTCCTCCAGGTCTTCCTCCACGAGGCCACGGTGCGGCTGATGGCGGGGGCCAGCCCCACGCGCACCCACCAGCTGCTGGAGCACAGCCTGCGGCGCCGCACGCCCCAGAGCAGCAAGCAAGGTCAGCCCTGGGGCTGGGAGCTTTTACCTCGGCTCACTCGCTCGCGTCCTGGCAGCAGCTCTGATAGCTTTTTGTCCCCTCTTTGCGTTTAGGTGAGCTGGACGCGCTGCCGGGGCAGAGGGAGCGAGCCACGGCCATCCTGCTGGCCTGCCGCCACCTCCCGCTCTCCTTCCTCTCGTCGCCCGGCCAGCGCGCCGTCCTGCTGGCCGAGGCCGCGCGCACGCTGGAGAAGGTGGGGGACAAACGCTCCTGCAACGACTGCCAGCAGATGATCGTCAAGCTCAGCGGGGGCACGGCCATCGCCGCCTCCTAACGCCTCGCCAGCCCCCAGCCCGGACTTCTCGGAGTCGAGAAAGGAATTGGGGGATAAAGAGGGGAACAAAAGAAAGGGGAGGGGGGTTAAAAAACAAAAAAAAGCAGTGCTAGGTTAGGGTTGTGCCAGTGGGATCACGCCGGGGTGGGAGCCAGGAGGGCATTTTTGTTGTTTTATTTTTTTAAATCTTGCCCCAGGTGCAGCTTTATTCGCACTTGTGCTTGCCTGGGGTCCTGCAGTGGGGCTGGGGCTGGCGGCAGCTTGGTGGCGGGGCCGGGGCCGGGGCCGTGCCCCCGTCCTCGTGCTGTGTGCATGGGGACCTGGTGCCCAGCTGAGCCCCCCGGCCCCAGCCCCGCTGGTGTGCTCCACCTGGGGCCAGCACTGCCTGTCGGGTTTCTGTACTGTTTTTATACCGCTATTTTTTTTTTTTAGGAGTGTTTGTGACTTTACCAAGTGTAGGGAACGATGCAGGCCTCCCCTTTTTGGCAGGGGCTGGGTCTGCGGCCAGCTGTGACAAGCAGTGCGCTGCTTGGGGTCCCCTGGGGGGCCTGGAGCTGGGTGGGGGCCGATGAAATGAGCTCTGCTCACCCCCCCCCGAGGTGTCCGTGTGCCTTTTTGTTGCGGATTGAACTTTTAGAAACAGTTTATTTTATTCCCTTCCCTATCCTATGTGGCCCCCAAGCCCCTGCAGGCCTGGAAGACGGGGCTGGGTGGCTGAAGCCCCTTCCCACCTGCAAGTAGGAAATCTGCCCTCGGGAGGCATGCAGCCCCCTTTTTCCCTGTGCACGTCCCTGCTGGAGGATCATTTTTCCCCAAGGCGTGCTGCCCTGTGCCCCCCGAGTGCGGGGAGGACATGGCGCTGCCCTCCCTCCCCATCCCCCTGGGGCACCTCGCTTTGTCCCTCTCCGTGCTCCTGCTGGGGGCGGATTGTGCCCTCCTCCTCCTCTTCTCGGTCTTCCTCGTCCTATTATTTTTATTAAACCACAGCAGCTCTTCACCCCAGTGCCCCCCTTATTTCCCCGTGCCCCGGGTCTGCCTGCAGGTGGGGTGGTTTTGTACTGCAGTAACCGGCACAGAGAAGCTGAGGAGAAGAGACATCCTCGGCCTTCCTCTTGTCCCTTACCCGTGAGCGGGGCCAGCACTTTCCCCCCCTGCTCCGGGGGCCTTTTTGCCCTGTTTTTCTACTCTTTCCAACCTCTCTGCCCGTCTGTCCCTACGGTTTTTTATATGTGTGTACATACTGTAACTGGGGGGGGCGGGAGGCTGCCAAGGAAGCCTGCTCCCCCCTGGAGCCCAGCGGGGTGAGAGGTGTGGGGGGGGCTCCCAGCTCCGGGCCCCCTGCGCATCCATCTACCCAATAAAGCCGAGTGTCACCATGTCACCCTGTGTGCCCGCTCTGTCCCCCCAGCCACGCGGGAGCCGTACACCTCAACGTGTTTATTACCAAGGGGGAGGCCGGGGCCGTGGGGAAGGGGTGCCCGTGGGCAGCACCGGGTCCCGCTGCCTGGAGTCCATTGCCCGTCCTCGTGGTGGGCTGAGACCGGTCCCAACTCCTCTCCTCGGCCACGGTGTCACCTCCTCGCCGGCTGGCATCAGACAGTGACCTCGGTCTTGCTGTTGGTGGCCAGGTGCCGCGAGCTCTGCCCATACAGCGGGGTGGCAGGGCCTGGCCGGCGGGGGCCGCGGTGAGGGCCCCCCTCCCAGCCCCCCGACGGGTTGGGGGGGCCCTTGGTCTTGGTGGCCCCCAGCGGGGGGCAGCCCTCGGGTAGCCCCGGCCCCTCGGCGTGCGGGAAGGGCAGGGTGCTGGGGGGGGGCACCTCCGGCCCCCCAAAATGCCTGTAGAAGTCCTCAGGGATGCTCTCTGTGGGGACAGAGACACCGGTGACACCCCCTCTGGTGGCACTGGGGGCACCGACAGGGGGATGCAATGGGTCTGGGGGGGCTCCTGGGTGCTGCCCCCTTCCCCCCATGCCCCCACACCCTGTCCCCACTCACCTCCAGCCGTCAGCGTGGCGTAGGTGCTGTAGCTGGGAGCCGTCGGGGGCAGGCGCTTGCCGTGGCTGTGGGGCCGCCCCAGCGGGGGGACGCTGGCAGAGGCCACCGCGTTGTTCAGGGGCAGCTTGTCTGGGGGCAGAGCCGTGGTGGGGGGCTCAGGGGCGCTCAGAGCCCCTCATGCTCCCCCCACACCACCCTTTCCCTGGGCACCCACCTACCCAGCACCGGGGGGATGTTTGGGGAGGGGGCTGGGGGTGGCAGGGCCTTACCTGCGCTGCTGCGGGGGGACCCCCGGGCGAGCCCCTCGCCCAGCTGCACCTGCACGCTGCCCATGAGCCCGTCGATGTGCTCGGAGGGGCCGTGGCCTGGCTGCTTCAGCAGGTCGGTGAGCGTCCTGGAAGGGGCAGAGGGACGTCAGGCCTGACCCGCTGCCTGCGGCCCCCCTCCCGTCCCACTGTCCCCCCGCCTGCCCCACGCCATGTGCAGCGGGGCCATTTCGAAGCGGGGCAGACCCCGAGGAGGGGATGGGCGAGGGGTGCTCGTGCTGCTGCGGGGAGGAGGCTGCACAGGTGGCTCTGGCGCACGTGCTGCCGCTCGCGACGCCCTCCCTGTACGCGGCAGCATGAAACATTAAACGCCATTACACAAGGCACAGCGCTGCCCCGTTCAGCATCACACACATCGCTGTGCGGGTGGGCAGCCCCGAGAGGCTGTGGGGTCGCCCTGCTTGGAGAGCTCCAAAAGCCACCGGGACGTGGCCCTGGGCAGCCGGCTCCGGGCCCTGCTGGGGCAGGAGGCCTCCAGCCACGCCTGCCCACCTCAGCCGTGACCTGAGCCAGCGCCAGTGCTGCTCTTTGCACAGAGACCTCCCTACCCCATAACTCTTCTCTTCCTAAAGCCCCAAATGCAATCTCCCCGCTCTCCACAAGCCCCCACAGCACAAGCAATGCTTTAACAGCCAGCCCACCACGGCCCCACAGATCCCCCAGAGCCCTGCCCCAGCCCTGCTCCCTGCCCACGGGGCCATCCCGCAGCAGCTCGGGGAGCCCAGGGCTCGTGCTGGGCAGGGTGTGGGGCCGGCAGCTCCCGTGGGGCCGGGGGCAGAGGCTGTCAGGGTGGGAGCTGCCACACCATCAGCCGCTGCCTCCCCAGGGCCCCGCTCCCCCACGTGTCCCCGCAGGCCGCCGCTCGCCGGGCTCGTTTCACCAGGAGGTCCGATGCGATTTGACCTATTTCTCTTTTTTTTTTTTTTTTTTTCCTCGGGTCTGTTTACCAAGCTCGAGCAGTCCTTTAGCTGCGACTTTTCCTCTCCAGAGAAATCCATCAGTGCTCTTTTCCACACGCCTGCCCCCGGCCGCAGTCACCCGGACAGCAACGGCGAGAGCGGCTCTGTCCCTGTCCCCGAGCCCGGTGGCCCGGGGGGAGGGCATGTGCCAAGGCGCCGCTGGCTCACTGGACGTGTTTTTTGGGGGTGAAAGCGCTAATTTGGGGGCTTGGGGAGGGCTCAGGAAGGTCAGGCTGCATTAAATCAGCTTATCCAAAGGTCTGCGGCTGTGAGATGGCTCCGGGGTGTGGAGCAAGGTGGGGAACGTGGGGCACATCAGCGGAGCAGCTTTAAACCTGCACTGCAGCAACATGGTAAAGGGCAGTGCCCCCAAAACCAGCCTGGTGTGAGCCCAGGAGCGAGCAATGAGGAGAGTCCTGGAGCCGTGGGGAAGATGAGAAGGCAGCGGCAGCTCCCCGGCAGCACCCAGCACACAGCTCAGTGCCCCCGGGCAACGCGGGAAGCCACCAGAGCCAGAAAACGAGGTGACAGCGTGTCCCCAGCCCTCAGCACGGGCAGGTCACACGTGGGTGTGGATGGGGACGGGGACGGGGTCGCTTTGCTCCCGTCCCCCGCAGCGCCGGGGCGGCAGGTGGCAGCTCGCCGGCTGCCTGCAAACACCTTTTCTGGGTCTTCGCCGTGCCTGCATCACCCACAGAGCAGCACCCATCGGGGTCAGGTGCAGAACAAGGATGGGTTTCGGGACCCCAGAAAGCGTGGGGAGACCCAGCTGCTTCCTCTCCTTTCCCCGCAGGGTCCCCAGGGCTCTCGCCCATAGGTGTAGGGCTTTTTGGGGGGATACGAACAGATCCCCCTGCCCTGAAGGGACCTCACTCACATCCTTGGAGATCGGGGGCCTGAAGAAAAACACGGGCAGGTGTTCCTGACTCAGACAGGGCCTGGGCACGCTGCGCGAGCATGGGGACGGGTGCCAAGCCAGAGCCAAGCAGGAAGGAGCAGGCCTGGTGGGAGCCGCCATACGGACCCGCGGGGGGCACGGGGACGGGGGGACGAGGTGGCCACAGCATTTGGGGTGCCTGAACCTCCTGCTGGACCAGCCATGAAGGCAGGAGGAGACGCGGTGCTCAAGGCAGACCGTGCTGAGCCGGAGCCATCCTGGGGCACCGGGAAGTGCTCTCTGGGAGCAGAAAACCACGGGCGGGATGGCAGGCTGGATGGGAACGGAAACCAGAGCGGCCGTGCAACGGGGAGCTGGCCCGAGGCCACGCTGCAGCTCCCGAGGAGCAAATGAGAAGCTCCAACCTGCGGCACCGGGCAGGACGCGAGGCCGCACTGCCCATGCGCCGGGGCTGAGGCACGGCACCGGGCACGGGCTGGAGGAGACAGTGCCACCACCGCACTGCCCTGCCCTGGGACACCCCGCTGGGGATCTCCAGCACGGCAGGCTCCTGGTTTTGCCCCAAAAAGGCACCCGAGGGCAGCTTGCCTTCTCCTGCTCCGTATGGGTGTGTCCCAAAAATCAGTGGCTTCGGGGAAAAAGGGAGGTGCTGGGCAGGGAGCTGCGCGTTTGGAAGCGTGCTCGTGGGGAGCGGGGTGAATCGCTGCCCTGCTCCTCGGGAAGGGTCGGCCGTGCAGGAGAGGAAGAGGAGGGGAACGTGGAGATGTGCGGCCTTGGAAGCATGGTGCCGAGGCCACCAGCAGAAAACAAATCCCCTCGGTGGCCGGTGGGGTGAGAGGGGCCGCAGACAGAGCTGGGGTCAGGTGTGGGCACCCCGGGGCTGCCCCTGCCCAAGCACAGCACCCCCTTCCCGGGGAGGGGAGGAGCAGGGAGGCTGGCGGGGCCGTATCGATCCTGTCAGGGTGCCAGCGCTGCCTCGGATGACGCGGGAGGGGGACATGGGCACACAGAGACGCTGGGCTGGGCTCCCCGCCAAGTGCAGGGGGGGCACAGCATGCATCCCCCCAAAAAAACTGCTTTGCAGGGTTCAGGAAGGTGCTGTGGCCCCCATTCCTATTCTGTCCCATGCCCAGCCTCCTCCAAACGTGGGGTGCAGACACTGTGCTCAGCAGGGCCTGGGGACAGGGCGCAGGGGTGCAGGAGGGGATGCGGCACCCAGCGGCCACCCCAGCCCCACGCGGGCACCCCATGGGAAGGTCCCTGAGAGGGGGGCTGCAGCCAGAGCACCTCCCGCATTGTCCTGGTAAAATTACTTCCTCAGGCTCCGTCTGCCTGCTCTTATTATTATTAATTTTAAGCTGAAATCCCTGAAGAAAACGGCACAAAAAACGGGTCCATTGCCAGGCTCGATGTCCTCGCTAGGAAGACCTTGCCGATCGGCAAGGGCTGCGGCTCGAAGCCCAGGGCAGCCCCCGGCCCTCGCCCTGCTCCTGCAGCCCTCCTTCTGCCACCACGTCCGTGTGACCGTGTGTCTGTGTGTCCGTGTGTCCGTGTGCCGGGGGGAGGACGAGGAGGGACAGCTCTGAGTCAGAGCCGCAGGGGCAGGGCTGTGCCTGGGAGGCTGGAGCTGCCGCCAGCCGCTGAGAAGTGTTAAACTCATTTAATGTGATCGTTTGGGGGAAAAGAAGTGAAAGGGGAAAAAAAAATAAAAGAAAAGGAGGGAGAGAAACAGCTTCCTAAGGGAAGGAGCTGCGGGAACCTAACACCGAGGGGGAAGCAAGGCAGAGGAGCCGCAGCCACTGTCCCTGTCCCTGTCCCTGTCCCTCTCCACCAAGCCAGCCACGCTGCCCCACACCAAGATTTGGGGCAGAAACGGGACCAGAAGTGTTTGCCTGGAGCCACAGCTCTCCGGGGAGCCCGAAAGGAGACAAAAAGCGAGGGGCTGGAGCCGGGGGCGAGGGGCAGCTGCCCGGCATCCCAGCGGTGTCCCCTGGGTGTGCGCCCCGGGTCCCCCCATGGAGGTGACATCCCAGCCTGGGGCACGGTGCCACACACACACACACACACCCCGAGGTGGTGCAGGGAAGCACAGCAATGAGGGGAGTTTTTTTTTGGGGGGGGAGGACAGCCAGCGAGCGGGGGGGCCGTGCCCCTTTACCTGGAGACGGTCATCTCGGTGGGGGGGCCCTGCGCCTTCTCCAGGCCCAGCTTGGTGAAGATGCCCACCAGCACCATGAGGGCCACCACGCCGCAGATGATGTAGACGATCATGTTGGTCCTGTCCCGCGCCGGGTCCACGGGGGGCTCGTCCACCCGGGCGGGGGGCTGCCCGGTGTTCACCCAGTTGGGGGTGTCGTAGTTGGAGCAGCCGCTCTGGTCCAGCCGCCCGGGCTTGAACTGGCAGCAGAAGCGGTACCCGCAGGTCCCGCAGCAGTACTGGTAGATGCCCGCGTTGCAGTTGAAGGGGGGGTCCCACTGCCCCATCACGTCGTAGTAGCCCCTGCAGCGGTCCCCCCCCGGGCTGGGCTCGGTGGGCGCGGGGGCCGTGTCCTCCAGGGCCGGTGCCTGGCTCCCGTTGCTGCTTTTTTCCCCGGGCCCCCCCGGGCTGGGCTCTGCGCCCCACGCCCGGCCGGGCTCCAGCAGCACCAGGCAGCAGATGCCCACCACGTAGCTCCTCTGCAGCCGCCCGCGGCTCCGGGGGGCCATCTCCCACCCCCTGCCCGAGCCCTTTGCCCTGGCTGTGTGTCCGTCTGGCCCCTCCCCGGGGGGTTACAGCCGCTCGCCCGCCCCGCGAGGGCCCCCCCGGAGCAGCCCCATGGCTGCGGAGATGCCCCCGAGGAGGAGACGGGAGGGGGGGGGGGCAAAAAGAGAGGGGAAAAAAAAATAAAGAGAGAAAAAAGGGGGGGAAAAACAAAGTGAGAGGGGACGGAGCCCCGCCTCTCGCCCCCCAAAAAATGAAAATAGTAAAAAAAAAAAAAAAGGGGGTTCAGGGCAGGAGCCGAGGCTGGCGGCGGGGCAGAGCCCCCGGGTGCCCCCGGCCGGGGCGGGGATGCGCAGCGGGGCGGCCGGGAGGGCTGGGGGCTCCGGGCCACCCCATCCCCGCCTCTGCCCCTTGCTGCCGGCACCGAGCTCCGGCAAGGAGAGAGGGGAGGGCGAAGAAAAACCAAAAAAAAAAATAAAAATAAAATAAAAAAACCGGGAAAGCAGCAAAAAGCCGCGGCACCGGGGAAGGAGGGGAGGAGGAGGAGGAGGAAAAAGGGGAGGGGGGGGGAGGAGGGAAGGGGGCGGCGGGGCGGGCAGGGCTCGGGGCTGGGTGGATGCTCGCCGAGGAAACCGGAGAAGCTCCTTCAGCAGTCCTCTGCCGCCCGCCACGGGCCCTGGCCCGCCGCCACCGGGCGCCAGGCACCGAGCGCCCGCCCCGTCGGGCGGGGACCGCGCCTGGAGCCCCCGCGCCCCTCCCGCACCGGGCACTGCCGGCTTGGGGGGGGGGGGGCATCCATCCCCCAAAATTGTACAGCCCCCCCGGGGGGAGCTGGGGGGGTCGTGGGTGTCGGGCTGGGTCCGGGAAAGGGGGCGTCGGGGGGAAGGGGAGAGCCCCGCAGCTTGGGGGGCCCTGGCAGAGAGGTTTGGGGAGGGGGGAGTGGGGTCGCCAGGTCTGGAGAGCGTCAGGGAGAGCTGAGACCCCCCCGGGGTTAAGTGTGGCCAGGGCGAGGGGCAGGCACAGGGCCCCTCATCCCCTCCTGGGGCTCCCCGTGCCCCCAGCATCGCCCTGGTCTCCTCGGGCAAGCCACCCTCCTGGCCCAGAGCGGGGAGGAGGTTTGGAAACATCGCTGGAAAGATGCAGCCGGAGCCGGGGCCGCCTCTGATGGGCCCCGAGTGCCGCAGTCTGCTGAGCGAGACCCATTTTGCAAGGTAGCTGTGAGCCCCCAGAGCCTCCCGAAGAGATCCAAAGGCAGCCAGGCGGCACAAAGCCACGCATCGCCAAACCCACCAACCCTCGGGGGGCTCCGCTTGGAGGCACCAGCCCTGGGAAGTTGCAGGCCCGGGGGCTGTTAGTGCTCACGGCCCGTGCCAGCGCCTGCAAGAGAAGTTTGCTGGTGCCCAGGTGATGGCAGGAATCGGTTCTGGGAGATTGCTCGCAAGCAGAGACCCCCCCGGGGCCGGCAGGCTTATCAGGCTGGTAGCAGGCTGAGCGAGAAACTGGCCAAAATCGGGGATTTTGTAGGGAAATGGTTGCCTGGGATGACCTGGGAGAAAGGGTATACTTCTTTTTTGGGGGGGAGGAACGCTCACAGATCCCACTTAAGGGGGATCTCGGTGCCTGTGGCTTGGAGAGGGCAGCGCACGGGCAGGAGCCGCAGGAAATTCAGGTCGGTGGGGACCCCGAGGGAAAACCCAAAGGACATGGAGGAGGAGGGAGTGTGCTGTCTGCACCAGTGCTGTCAAAGCCTTGGGTGCCAGGGAGCTTGGCCACAGCCTGGGGGCTACCCCCAGTGGGACACGGTGCCACTGCTGGAGGGATCCCATGGCACGCGCTGTAGGGCGGCCCCCAGCTGGGGACAGAGCTGGGGACACGTCAGGGGACATCAGATGTGCTGGAGGGGCACGGGGACATGGTGGCAGAGCCCCTGGCCGCCCCACTCCCAGCCCGGCACGCACAGGGGTTTTATTCCCCCGCCTGTGCTCGGTGCCGTGGCTGGGAAATGGGCTGCCAGAGAAGCCGTGCGCCTTAATGGCCCATCTAAAACACAGGAGCATATGTGCGCTTACCATTAAGATTATAATTGCAAACATCCCCAAGTTGAGATTTGCGAGCTCCCAGCTTCCCAAAGGCGGCTGCAGCCGAACCCAAACGACATCCAGAGCAACGAGGGGAAAATGTGTTCAGAGCGAGAGCCTCGCTGCTGCTGCTGTTGCTGGATGGATGCGGTGCTGGCTGCAGAGGGACGCTACGTGTAGGGCCAGCCCCGGCTGCCTTGCTGGTGATGCCCACCCTAGTGAACGGGGTGGGAGCAGCCCCGTCCCTCCATGCCAGCACCAAGCCCCACAGCAATCCCAATCCTTTCTCCCGTAACGCAACTTCCCTACATTTTGGGGCCGGCAGCAGCAGAGCTCACGTTATCTGGGGGGGTGTTTTCGAGGCTCAGCCTGCAGGAGGAGGCCATATGGCCGGGAACAGCGGCGTGCCGGCCCCGTGGCAGCCCGGCACAGCATCCAAGTGCCAAGCGGCCCCGGCCGGCAGCCAGCACCGCGGGACGCCCCCGCGCACAGCCCTGCCCCTCCTCATCCCTGGGCACTGGGCACAGGGGCACGGGGGTGGGCTCGTCCCCCCCTTGTGTAGGGTGCCCTCTGAAATGGGGTGGGCTGGAGGCACCTGGCTTGGCTGCCTCGGTTTTGGGGTGGCCATTGTGCTGTGTTACGCCTGCTCCGTGGCCGTGCTGGCAGCAGATGCAAACCTCGTCCCCTCCCCGAAATGCCCCACTGGGGGCACTCGGATAGACGTGGTTGTCCCACAGCCCCTCTCCCCCATCCCTCCCCGCCGTGCTGTCCTGATGTGCGGCACCTCCGTAGCCCCGCCGGGCTCTTAATGAGAAGTTAATTGGAGCTGACGCCGCCCGACCGGCACAGGGCTCTCCTGGGGCTGCGGGTCCGTGGCAGCGCCATGAGGTGTGAGGGGAGGCACGGAGCTGCGGGTGGATGTGCTCCGAGACAGGGGCTGCAGCACCTTTATTCCCTCTTGACCCATTTAAAGCCAGCATCGGTGACTAAGGGAGCTGGCGGGAGGATAAAAATACCTCCCACACGCTCCCTGCGAGGCCGGGGATGGAAACAGGGGTGCCGTCACCTCTCCGGGGACTGCCCGGGGTCACTGCTGTGCAGTCCCAAAGATCGAGGCCGTGCTGGTGGGCTCGGGACACCGACACTTTGCTGGTGTCCTGCAACTGCTCCTGGCTCGGGTTCAGGGTCTCCTGCCCCATCCCACCCAGCCAAGCCCCATCCCCAGGGCTGGAGGAGGTTTACGAAGCAGTGAGGAAAGTAGTCTCCTGCCCACAGACCCAAATCTCTCAGCTTTCACTCGCTTTGGAGAAGAAAGGGGCGAAACCCGGGCAGGTGCCGGCAGGAGGCTGCATTTAGAGGCAGAGGTGTTTTTGGGATCATTTCGGGTGCCTGCTGCTTGCAGGGCGCATGGGGAGCTCAGCACCAGATACCCCAACACTGCTGTCCCCGAGGGACCCAAATATCCACCTGGACCCCGCGGGGCGATGCCTGGATGCCTGCCAGGCTGTAACTCAGCTGCCTGGGGCACCGGAGCTGCGGGGAGAGCAGCGCACGCCCAACCTGGCAGTCCTGCTTCCTAAATCTGCAATTCCAGCCCGGCTGTATTTTCGTCTTTCTAATAATAAGTGCGAATACAGTGGGGATGAATCACAGGCTGCAGGCTGCAGGTTTTGCCCCCCCCTTTGCTGCGAATCCGTCCTGGTTGGGAGCAGGGCTGCTGGGGACAGGGGCTGGGACACAGAGGGGACACAGAGGGGACACAGAGGGGACACATAGGGGATGCTGTCCCAGGCCAGCTCCAACCTCCCCTTTCACCTCCCAGCCGTATCCATCGCGTCCAGTAGCCGAGTCCCCTCACGCTCCCATTTCCACCAGTATTTCGGCATGCCACAGCAACATTTCAATCCCGAGGGACTCCAGCGGCATCCCCGCAGACCCCTGCCCCGTGGCTGTTTGCCCCCCGGGGTTTGGGTACCTCTGCCCCCCGCCTGCTCCCGGCCCCAAGCACAGAGCAGCCCCCCTGGTCACCGCTGGCTCTGCCCGCTGGGAACCGCTGGCTTTGTTGCGAGGACCTTTTGCAAATGTTAATGCTTTCCTTGCGCTGGAGAGCTCTGCGGATGATCTGCCAGAACGGATTTCACACGCTTCTCCTAAAATTATGCCCTTTGCTTTCCCGGCGCTGGAGACGAAGCGCAGCCCGGCGTGCCGGCGGCATGCGAGGAGCGCGGCTCGCCGCTGCGCAGGCAGCAGAGCAGGGCTGAGCCCTGCCCGGGTGGGCTCTCCTGGAGCCCACCGCAGCTTGGACACAGCCCCTGCAGCCCCTGCAGCCACCTCCTGCGTTGCCAACGCTGCCGGGGAGGTGCCCGGTGGGCACTGGCTGCCCCCATGCCCTGCACCTCTCCGGGGACCCCGGGTGCCTGTCCCACATCCCCGGGGGCTGCCCTGGCTCTGTCTGGGCTGGGGGTGATTCCCGACCCCCGAGGCATGTGTGTGGTGTTGTGGGGAGCTTTCATTTACCCCCGCAGCCACCCTAAGCTGTAAAGGAGGACATTCGGGGTTTGCCCTCCCCCGGCAGGAGCCCCCCCACCTATTCATATTGGGAAATGCAGCAGGGGGGATCCAGACCCGGCCCTGTCCTCCCCAGCAGTGAGCAGCTACTCATGAATATCGTGGCTGTGGTTAGAGCTGATTTAATACAGCTTAAATGACTCATTGGGGAATTTTTTTATTTTTTTTTATTTTTATTTTATTTTATTTTTAATAGCTGGCGGTGTCACTACAGGGCACGAAGTTTGCTTCGCTGAGTTTGTTTCCCTGCTTCTTGGCACAGATAAACAAGTGAGGAGCTGGAGAGCGAGCGAGAAGCCCACATCCCCAGGCGAGCAGCGTGCCTCACCTTCCCCCATCCCTGCACATTTAGGAGGAAAGCACCCGCAGCGGCTCCTCCATCGCCACCTCCATTGATGGTCCGGGGCCACCAGTGGTGGTGACAGGGGACTGGTGACAACAAGCCCACGGAGGACACCCCCGGGGATGCTCCTCGTGGCTCACCGGCCGCAGAGCCTCCCAGCTAGGGAAAACTTCCCCATTCCCTGCTTGCACAGTGCATGGGGTACGGGCTGAGAGCGTCGTGCCTCAGCCCCCAGCACCCTGTGGGGTTTTTCCCCGGGGTGTCCCGGCCCCGCAGCCCAGCTGTGCTCTGTCCCCGCTGCCTCCTGTGCCGGTGCCGCCTGCCATCGATCCGGGCCCAGAATAGCTGCCGCCAGCAGCCGGCCGACGCTGCAGCCACCAGGGGAAGGGCACGGCCGATGTCCCCCTCCTCGCCCCGCAGCCCCCCGCTGCTGGCACAGGTGCTGGGCGTGCTGGAGGCGAGGGAGAAGGGAAATAGGGCAACGGGTGGAAGGGGGAGGACGCAAGGGAGGGGCTGTGCGAGGTGCTGCCGGCACCGGCTGTCCCACTGGAGGGGCTGGGGCACTTTGGGCAGCTGCTGGAGGCAGGTCCCCTTCTGCTCCACGCCACTTCTGCTCCACTTCCATTTCGATTTCCGTTCCCACTGCCACTCCACTTTCACTCCGCTTCTACTTCCACTCTATTTCCAGTCCCATTTCCATTCCCACTTCCATTTCCACTTCCACTTCCATTCCCGTTCCCATTTATTCTCCAATTCCATTTCTCCACCCACTCCCACCACCCCCTGACCCCCCCCCCGACGTGCTGGGGCTGCAGCATCACTTTGCCACCCCCACCTCCCGCCCAGCCCCGCCGGTGTGCACCACGGAGCCGGGATCTGGCCCCTCCTGTGCACACCCCTCTCTCCCGACCTGAGCTGGCTTTTCCCTGGGCTGCTTTTCCCGCAGAGAAGAACTCCCCAGGCTGCTGGGGGCACTTCTGCATGATTTTATCCTGTGGGGAACAGCTTGCTGAGAGTTGGACTGAAAAGAGGTAGCTTGGGGTTTTTTCTTTTCGTTTTTTTTTTCTTTCCCTGGGCACAGCCTTGGGGGTGCATGCGGAGAACCAGAGCTGCTCTGGAGCAGTGTCCGAGTGTCCCAATGGCACAGCCCTGTTAGAAACAAACCCTCAGAGCTGAGATTCTTGCAGACCTCCCCCCGTGTTTGTCCCCTGGCTGCACCCAGTGGCATTAGGGGCGGGTGGCATCGCCCAGGGGAGCCCCCAGAACCGGTGAGGGAGGAGCTGGGGTGAAGGGTTTGGAGGGGCTGGATCCAGGGGGAGACCCACTCTGCGCAGTGGGTACCCCCTTTAAACATCTCCCCGGGTGCCCTGCTGGAAGCCACGTGGGCCCAAAGCGATCCTGACACCCAGTAAAGGAAACGGAGGCTGATTTAAGTTGAGTGTTTTTTTTTGTGTGTTGGCTGTTTTGTTGTGGGTTTTTTTGTGTTTTTTTTTCTTTTTTTTTTTTTTTTAATTCTTTCCTTAAGTGCGAACACCATCTGGCTCCCCGAACTCCGTCAGCGCTTCCAGTCCCAAGGCGGCTTCGCTCCTGCTAATTACTGTCATTACGCGGTGGGGTAGTGATTAGGGACGGATGCTGACGAGTGGCGTCAGGAGGGCCGCGTCCCCCGACAGCCTCGGCCCACGGAGCCGGGCAGCCGGGAAGCAGCCGGGGCCTTTTCCAGCTGGGGGCTGTTGCCTTTGGTTGGAAGGGGCATTTTGGTACCCAGCAGGAGGGATAGGCACCGGCACCCAGGCGCCCAGCCGGCATGAGTTTTGGGGGGCTGAGGGCAGGGGTTATGTCAGGCTGGTGCAGCTGCCCCCACGGGTGAACGAGCAGGAGATGAAACCTGCTGGGGCTTTCCCCAGACTTTCCCCCCACACTGCTCGCTCCGAAATCCCGGGTCCCCCCCCCCCCCGGCAGGTGAGGCCCGGCCTCGGCAGCCTTTCAAGGAACCAAAGCGGGAGGCTGGGAGGCCAGAGGGAAACCCAGCCCCTGCCCCATGGGGGAAGAGAGAAACTGCCACGGGCAGGCACCGGGGGCTGCGGGAGGGCTCCCAGGAGAGGGGATCCGCTTCATGCTGCTGTTTCTCCCCTTTCCCTGGGCTGTCCCGTGAAGGAGACGTGTGGGGAGGCACCTGAAGAAGTAAGAGCAGGAGCCCCCGCCTCAGCAGGAAGAGGGCCTTTTTCGGCAGGATTTTTGCAGGATTTGCTTTTCCAAACCACCACACCCGTGTGGGGTGGATGCTGCACAAACGGGGCTCAGCTGTGGAAATGGGAGGGGGGTGCGTGACAGTCCCACTCCTGCCACCTCCCATCCCGTTCTCTGTGAAGCAGGTAGCTCTGCCTCTCACAAGCCAGTGCCAAAATGTCCCCAGCTGGGCACGGGCTGGTTCCCAAAGCGCTTGGGCTTGTTTGTGTCCCCCAGTGATGGGGACACATCGTGTCTTGAACTGTGTTGGGCATTAGCCGGATCGAGGCTCAGCCCAGCCAGCGCTTTGAGGTTTGGGAGAGGACTTGTGGTGAAGAACTTGGTCCCTCATGCCCTGCGGCAGCTCGTGTGGTTCCCCTGATGGGGTGAAGGACGTGAAACCAGCTCCAGCATCCATGGCTGGGGGAGGAGGGGGGCATCACCCTCTAACAGCACGCGGTCCTGCACCCCAGAGGAGCCAACGTCACCCGGCAGTCACTGGTCGATCCCACCATGATCTGCAGACCTACATGGTCCACGGGGTGAGCATGGCAACGTCCTCCAGCTTCTGAAGACCACGGTAGAGAGGAGAGCACTCTAGGTGGGCCCAGCCCCCATGACCGGCCGTCCATCGATGGTGACATCGGGTACCAGAACCGGTGGTGGATCGGGAGCAAAGCTGGAAACGTTGAACGGAGCTCATCCGCAATGACAACTTCATTTCCAAATCTGCTTGCCCAGGCGAGCCACCGGCATGTGTGTGAAGAAGGCCATCGAGGGAGAGCTGCCTCGGACCGGCAATTCTCGCGCGCAGCAACCCCCCGGAGACACGCAGATGAATGAAGTCATCCCTCCCACGCTCACATCGCTCCCTGCCTGGTTGTGTGCAGCACGGAAACATCCATCACCGGGAGTCCTGTCACCACGAGTGACACGCGGTATTTTTGCAGCCACCGTGAGCTGAAGCGATGGTTGTCTGGGGCCAGCGTGACAAGCTCCTGCGGCCAGCGCGCCTCTCGACCAGCAGGCTCCATTGCCTGCCCCTGGTCCTCGCTGACTGCAGTCACTGTAGCTTGGAGCTAAGGCAGATTTCTCCAGCCTCCTTCCCTCGCTCCCTGCTCAGAAAGGCGAACTCGCTTCCCAGCCCCAGGGCACCCAGATGCAGGGGGGGGTCCCACCAGTGCCCACGGGTGCCTGTCGCCCACGGGAGCGCCCCGAGGGAGCGGGGACCTGGGTGTCATGGCGAGCAGGAGATGGGGAGGCAGGACTGTGCATGGAGAAGATGCTGCATGAGCGATGCTCTGTTTGGCCCCAAGTCTCATTTTATTGAGGTCAGGAGCAAAAAATCGAGATAATGGGAATGGGTTTCATCTTAATGTACCCCCTGCTCCCCCCCTTTCTGGTTGCCCAGCCCCATGTCCCTACAAGTCCCCCCCTCCAGCAGCAGACCCATCCGGGCTCCCCAGTTCACCCACACCCGCACTGTGGCAGCCTGGCAGGAGGCAGAGCAGCCCCCGCGATGCTCCCTCCTCACCGGCCCCATCCCTGCCTCTTCCAGGCGTGGCTCCTTCGGCTTCCTCCGGCGATTACAGGCACGCAATCCACAAAAATGGCAAAGTGGCAAAAGTGACAAATGGCAAAGCCCAGTTCTGGTGCAGCTCAGGTCCATGCCGGGCCTTGCCCACCCGGGGAAGGGCTCTGGCTGGCTGCAGGGGGCAACCGGAGAGCCCCGGCCCCGTCTCCAGTCCATCACGGTCTCTCCTGGCCCACGCAGTCCTGGGTGGTTTTGGTGGTGACCAAGGCGGTGGCGCCCAGCTCGGTGGCCGGCAGCGGGAAGCCGTGGCCGTGCTCCTCGTGGCGGGGCCAGGGGGCGGCCAGCAGCACCACGTCGCGCTCGCCATCACCCTGGCAGCACGGCCGCCGCTTGGTGCTGTCCCTCGGGGGCGGCCCCACTGCCTTCAGGCCGCCGTTGAGGTGCGGGCAGGGGCCCCGAGCTGGGTCGGCCTCCCCCAGTGGAGCAGCGGGGTCCGGGTAAGCGGGGCTGGGCAGGGGGCCGGTTTCACCCAGGCTTTCTGAGAGAAGGGCAAGAGAAAGGGTGAGGGGCTGTGATGGGGTCCCAGGACGGAGATCTCCCCCCGTTTCTCCTTAAATGTCGCTTCGTAGTGTTTTTACCCCCCCTGAGTGCAATAGGGGAAGCGCAGCTGCGCACTTGCACCTCGTGTCTCCCGTGAGCCCGTGCTGGCGGTGAGCAACTGGCCCGGCCGCTTCCCTCTTAAAAATAGACTTGTTTACAGCAGCACGCGGCCCCGCGCCGCCCCGCGCTGGATTTCTCCCTCCCCTTTCATTTCTGACACTGCTCCCGGCTGTCCCCGGTGGGCACCGTGGCCTCGCCCCCTGGAGATGCCCTGTGGGGAGAGGCACGGCCCTGTCCCTCGTCCCTCATCCCTCACCCCATCCCCGGTGCCTTTGGGGACCAGGCTCTGGTGCACCTCACCGACGAGGTGGGACGTGAGTGGGACGGTGTCATCTGAGGTGACACGGGGCCAGCAGAGACCTGCCCTGGGGAGCTGGGGACTGGGCCAGGGTGAGCACGAGGTTTCCTACCTTTGGCCTCCTGCTCCGTCTTCCTCCTCTTCCTCCTCTGCTTGCTCGCCTTGCAGCCCAGGAGGCCGCAGAGGGCGGCCAGAACCAGGAGGAGCACCACCAGCGCGGGGACCCCGAAGAGCAGGAGGGTGCTGGGCAGGTCCACGGAGGACAGGGTGGGCGGCGGGGCCGAGGTGGGCGCCACGTGGACGGGCTCTGCTGTGGTGCGAAACGCCGGCGGGGTCAGGAGGGGGAGAGCTGGGGCGAGGGGCAGAGGGCGGTGGCTTTACCCACCAGGCCTCCTGGCCTCTGGATTTGGTGGTGGAGATTGAAGGAGCGGGACCTTCATCGCCATCCACCTCCTACCCCATCACCACCACCACCACCCGCGGGAGAAGGTTCCCTCCAGCCCAACCCCGGGGTGCCCTCCAGCCCCTTTGCCCGCCAGCGCCTGGCCCCGGCCGCCCTTACTTGCGTTGTCCTTGAAGAGGTCGGCGCACCTGACGCAGAACCTGGTCAGGGGGTCAAAGCACTGCGAGGGGAGGCAGGCGGCGACGGCGTCTGCTTTTCCCGAGGAGGCCATGGCCGAGCGCTCCCGCATGGCGCAGCGCAGAGCGGCCGCCCGAGTGTGAAATCGCCGAGCCCCGGGGCGGGTGGCAGAGGGAGATGCAGTCTGTCGAGCCGCTTCGGCTCCCTTGGGGCTCCGCTCGCTGCGCTTCCCCCGGGGCGGATCTTCGCTGGGGAGGAGGAGGGTGCACACCGAAGCCCTACCCCTGGCTGCCCGTGCAACGCACCCTCCAAGAAGCCCTCTCCTCCAAAACACATCGCCAAAATCCCCACGGCCTTTGGTGCACCTCCCCGGCCCAGCCCTGTGCTGCCCCAGCCCCTGCAGCCCCCAGCCCGCACCTCTCCTCGCCTGCCGGAGAGAAGCCCCTCATTGGGGTGGGCTGCGCCTCTCCGAAATCTGCCCCGGCCTCTGGCATCGGGGTATTTGCTGGTCTCCCCTCGGTGAAGCCTGTGTGTGCTGGGCCCTGTGTCCACGCGGGTGTGGGGCAGAAATCAGGCTCGGGTGTTGTGGTTCGCTCCAGGACTGACACAAAAAGGCCGAACTCGCTCTCTGCGTCCTGTGCTAGACCCTTGGCACGGAACCTCCAAGCCCCTTGGCTCCACGTCCCGTTCCTCAGGGGTTCAGAGCTGGTCCTGGTCTCAGTGATTCCCCGGGGCATGCACAAAGCCAGTCCCACCAGGCAGGTCTTGCCCCATACTGTTGGAGAGGATTAAACACACTGTGAAGGGCCTGGGGTGTTCCTAATCTTGGGCAGGAGAGATTTCCTGCCACCACATGTATGCCAAATCCTGGCGGCTGAGGTCTGAAGCAGATAAGCGATTGATTTCAGCACTGCAGGTGGCTCTGCTCCATCCTTACTAAACAAGCACCTCGTCCCCTTTTCCTTCACCCCACAGGAAGGAAAGAGACCCCCATGGCCACTTTACAGCCGCCTGCCCCACAAGTCCCTCGCCTCGCTGCAGCCTGCGGGCTCCTCCCAGCGCGGCCACGGCGCTCGGGGCATCTCGTCTGGGCGAGTGAAAGTCGTGAGCAAAACCAGTCGCTGCCCACCAGCACAGCGATTTCACTTCCCCTTACGCCACTGCCGGGCCCGGCCACTGCCTCGCTCGCCCTTGCACGCGCGCACGTGTGCGTGCACGGCCGTGCCGCCCCGCTCCTCGCCCCTCCGTTCTCCTCCGAGGAGCGCGGCCCCGGCCGCGGTGACTCAGTTCTTCCACCCCGGCCTTACTCAAATGAAAACTCCCCGAGCACGCCGAGCACTTCCCTCTCTCTTGCTTCGAGGCCGCAAGTGCCAGGCACAGCGGTGAACTCGGCACCCTCTGCCTCGCCGCTGCTGCAGGCACCCACAGGTGCTGCTGTGCCACCTCACCGCATGAACCACCGGGGCTTGTGCCTCCTGTGAGGTGTTTTTCCTGTGAAGTGGTAAAACCCGGCTGTGCCCTTCTGGTTTCCAGGGGGCTGAGGGTGTGCAGAGCATACAGCTGATTCCCCGCTGGTGCCTGGGCGACCTGTGGGCATTTAGGGCCAGCACCTGAGAGGCGGCTTGGTGGTGCGGGGAGCTCTCCGCAGCTCCTTCCTTCTCCCTTCCCACCCCGTCTGCTCCCACCCGGGCCAGGGAGATGATGTTTGAACTCACACATAGCAGGGCTTACTCATGGAGAAAATCACCGCTGACTTTCCCGGCAGCGCTCACGTGTGACCAGCGTGCCCAGGGCTCCCCGCACCGGCCCCCGCTGCCTCCCCGCCTCTCTGCCCCCTGTAGCAGCATCGCTTTTGGAGCAGGAAAAGTTGAGGCTCAGCGGCTGGTTAGTGTTATGGAGTGCTCACATCTAAAGGCTGAATACGCTTGGTACTAGCACAAATGCATAATTAAAGAGCAGGAAAAATGACTCACTGGATAAGGAAATGCGCTTTTCTTATCTTCTCTGCAAACGAGAGCCCCAGGAGCTTGGGAGCCTAGCTAACCAAGTGGTTTTATTAAACAAATAAAACAGCAAAAAAAACATCAAAAGAGCGATTTAGGAGTTATGCCTCAATTCTGGAGCCAGAGAATGCTCAATCCCTGCCACCACCTGCCCCACACACGCAGGAGGGGGGCTGCCCATGGCTGGGATCGTCCCGCCAGCCCCACGGAAAGCCCACGAGCAGCACGGGCAGCACGCACAGCCCGGGGAGCGCGGGCAGGCCCTTGTCCCACACGTGGGGAACGGGTCCCACGTGAGCGGTTCCTCCAGCCTCACGGTGGGTGAAGTGACTCACACGTGCGAGCAGCGCTGGCTGCATCAGAAAATATCCACCGAAAGTTCACCTTGTGCTCGTGTGTGCCGGAAACCCAAAGGCGTGTTGATCGCAGAGGCTGCAAGGTGTTTATCTGGCAGACCCATGTACTTCGGGACGAACCTCTAGCACGATGCACCAGCCAGCCTTTGGCAATGGAAACTGAGCTGCGGGGAGGTTTGGGCTGGAGCTGACCCCGCAGCAGTTCTGCAGAGCCGGGGAGGGGGCGCAGAGCCAGACCCACCGAGGGCACGGACACGTCTGCCCCAGCAGCAAGGGGCACGGAGCTGGTCTGGAGGCCAAAGCTGAGCTAAGCAGCCCAGATTGAATTTTGCATAGCACTTACTTGTGGCCAGCTACTTGCGGGAGCTGCGAGCTCATGCACGGGAAGAGTTCGGTGAATACATTTGACTAGCAGATCACCCTGGGAAATAAGCGTGCCCTCACGAATTATTCCAAACCAGCAGAAACGATGTGTGCCCAGGGAACTGACTTGCTGGCAGGGTGCATCAGCGTCCCGCCACACATGGACACTTACCTTTGGGTAGGTGCAAGGACGGCCTCCCACAGCCCCGCCAGCATTTTTACTTTTGGCTGCTGCCCCATCAAACGGTTCTGGGCCGGTAGGGTGCCAAACTGAAACCGGGTTCAGCCCCGCAGCACTGCCACGGGTTGCTGTGCTGCGGGAGGAGAGAGCCGCACGTGTTCGGGCATGAGCCCGGGATGCGGGGCAGGGAAACGAGCGGCCGCCGTGCCAAAACGGGCCCCACAGCAGCAAGCTCGTTGCTGCTGCACGGCTCCGGCTGGCAGCATCCCCTCTCCTCGCTCTGCAGACAGCAGCACGGCTGCCTTTCGTGGTTCTGCGCTCCTATCCTGTGCTCCCCCGAGCCAGCACCCCCGGCAACACAGGGATCAGCTGCCACAGGGTGCGGGCTTATAGGAACCATGCAGCCATCCAGCACCCCCCCAAAATGCAGAGGATGAGGACAGATACAGCTTTTTAGCCCTCTAATCATCTTGTCTCTGAGCTAGATAACCAGGACTGTAAATCCCTGGTGATAATCGCAGACACCATGCCTGCAAGCTCTCCCCCGGACCATTCATTTCGCTTGATGATGCTTTAAAGAGACATCTAATGAGGATAATCTGATTCAAATCCCCTCTGCTTTTGAGTAAGCAGAGCAATTTAGTCCCCCTCAAACTCCTTCTTCCCCCATGGCTCTCTTTATTTCCCCTTCTCATATGAATCACTCTGGGGTTTCCTTTGCTCTTTGCATTGCTATTTTGATTCTTTGATATGACCACCGCAATCAGCATTCACTCTGGTTAGAACCTAATTAGCATGAAATCAGATTCACTTTTTACTCACATCCTCCCGGCGCTACGATGCTGGCCAGTGCTCCGGCTCCCACTTTGGGCGCTGGAGCCCCACAGCCTGCTTACAAACCTCCCTCCTCACCTGATTAGATCAGGAGCACTCAGAGAGCCGCACGCTCAGCCCGGCAATCGAGCCGAGCTTTGGGAAGGGGGGAAGCTCTCAATCACGCTCAGCTTTCAGCGCCGAGCAGATGGCGACCGTACCGACTCCATAATTTATAGGCCACCATCACTCTGCATCAGTCCCAAGCAGTGGCTGAGCTGAGCCAAGCGGCGCGGGGAGCAGCCGGGCGCAGGTGAGAGCCCACGTGCAGCGGGGCCGGGGAAAGCGCGAGCCTCACGCGGGGCCCGGAGCAGGGGACGTGACGCCCCGGAGGGGTTACCCCGAGCAGGACGAGCGCCACGCAGCCCCCAGCCCGTCCTCAAAGTAGGTCAGCATTATGCAACAGCTGCACACAAGCAGCTCCGCTGCGTTTCCCCGGGAGCAGGAAACAGGAGGGAGAGCTGCTCAGGACGGGCACGTCAGGTTACAGCACGGGAACCGGAGGGTGGCAGAGACTGAGGCAGAGCACCGGGCAGGACGAATGCTCTCTGCGAAGCGAGGTGAAGGCTGTGGGTACGCTCATAGGAAACACCACGCTGCTCCCACAGCTTCCCCAGCTCTGAAGCCTTTGATCCGCTGCTCAGCGTAGCAGCAAGAGGCCCCAAGTCATGGGGAGGGCGAGGATTGATGAGGCAACGTGGGCACACAGCTGCGAAGAGAGGTTCTCGGCTGCAGCAAGAGCCACAGGTAGCTCCAGCCGGAGCCCAGCGGAGCGCAGAGCAGGCTCCACATCTGTCAGCTCTGTGCGAGTTAGGAGAGGGAACGGGGATAGGGGAAAACAACCGCATACGTCCGTGCTGGGGCGATGCCAGCACTGCTGTGACATCGGGGCAAGCGGCCAGCACCAAGGGTGGGGAGAGCTGTGAGCTGAGGGCGTGGAAGGGAAAGGGAAATACACCGAAATGCCAAAAATTGGGGGGAGCCTCTGCGCTGTGTTCAACAATCTGGGCTTTTTAGGCACTGCCAGCGCTCACCACAACGCCTCTGCCTGGCTCCTGCGCCCAAACCGCCCGCCCTCGAGCGCGGTGCTTCAGCTCCCCGGGCACAGCACGGAGGTGACAGCGGGAGGATGCAGAGGACAGAGGACACAGCAGCCCCCGCACCACAGCAGGGCCCCGTTTCCCAAGGGGAGGCGTCTTCTCGCTTTGTTTTCGTCCTCACCCCACCTCAGTGCTCCTTCCTGTGACGTGCAGAGCCCCCGGGGCTCTCGTGCCCGAGCCCGCAGCTGCACCTGGGCCGGCGGCGGGGAGGCACACGTATGTAAAGCACGGGCTCCTTCACACCCCGCTGACTTCCCCCTGCCAAGGACACGGCGGGGCAGGGGGACATCCACAGCTCCTTCCAGGGCTGTCTGCAGGGCTAGGCGTGTCACACAAGCCCCTCGCGATGCGGTGAGCCCGAGGGGGACCGCAGCACCGTGGCA